CAACGTTTCATGCACTTCACTTTTTAAATCTTCTTCAAAATCCACAATTTCGCCAAGATTTGAAAAAACAAGATATAGCAACTGAGATTCATTCTAAACAATATCATCATTGGATGGCGTGGAGAAACATTGATGTGAACGTACGTAATTGGACCAATAAGTAGTAGTAGTAATGCATAATAAAAATGAAACTTGCCGCTGGTATGCCAAAATTTATTTAAATCATCTTGTCTTGTTTAAACAGTATAAAAAAATTCGATTATTTTATAAATGTTGTTTTCATTAGCGAATGAATCAACATGTACAAAGTTCATATAGATAATCGAAACCATCAAGTAGATCGATCAGTTCATTTAAATCTTGATTTTAATATATCTCCTTCCCGATTTAATTTGAATAATTCAATAGGTCTACGATTATTTGAATCATCGCAATGTCTTATTAGCCAAAACTTATAGCTTCATGATCAAACTTTATCATAATTTTGATTTAAATATGTTACATCTCCTTGCAAGAAAAGAATTCTAATACTAACAATATAATTCGAATAAAACGAATAATTCTAAAATTAATGATCCAAATAAAATAATATATTAATATCTAAACAAAATATTTGTCTTTATCAATCTATTTTTCCTTTGTAGTATATAGTGATAATAATAATAAATAGTGGCAGGAATAGTAATTGAAACAATAACAACAACAATAATATAGAATTTGTTGTATCAAGCTGTAAATTAAATATTTTATATTTTATAAAACGAATAAAAAACGAGTAACTCAAATAAAACGAATAAAATGAATAAATTCGAATAAAACGAATAAATGAATAATTAGAATGATGAGAATAATTAAAATAAAAAATAATTAATTAGAATAGAATAAAAAATGAATAAACGATAAAATGAACAATTAATGCTGATCCATTTATTATAACATAGTACGGTGCGGGTCACTATAACCCCATCAAATAACTTTAAAGCTAATAGGGAAATATTGAATACTTATCTGGAAAAATTAGATGTTTGATAGCTATTAAGTAGTTCTACAACCTATCGTCGAGATAAAATTATTAGTTCAGAGTTATTAGCTTTTAAAAATTTCAAATAACTTTAAATGTTTCAATTTGGACTCTATTTTTTCAGATAAGCATTCAATATTTCCTTATCCTGCTTTAAAGTTGATCAACTTTTATTTTGATGGTTAGACATAAAGATGATTAAATTCACTGGATAATAAACATATAATTTCTTTTTACTGATGATATACATACCAATTAATTAATACCTTGCATTTCATTAAAAACTTATTTCATTTAAAAAAAAATTTTTTTTTTGTTTTATACTCTGGCAGGACAAAAAATACTATAGAAATAATAGTCAAATACCTGTCTGATTTCCATTGGATATTGGACAAAAATTTTAAATAAATAAACTAGAAGTAATGATTAGAATAATTTGAATAATTTGAATAATAATAAACTCATAGTTTGAATAAAATAATATAAAATTTATACAGTGTAACTGGAAATGGCTGATCTCTAAATTTTTTATCGGACATTCTAAAATTTTATTGGAATGTTCTGAATTTAATAAGATTTCGCATAATCATGTTATCCGCAATTTTGCGCAGCATTATGAGAATAACCAATTTTTATTGGTGGGTTGGGTGCGTGTTATCCTTATTTAGAAATCGATTTGGCGATTGCGGATATTTTTTGTGGATAACTACATGA